AGCTTCTGCACAGCAAAATGAAAAGGGAGCCCACTGTATGGGAAAACATATTTGGCAATGATACATATGATAAAGGGTTAATATCCAAAATATATAAGGAACTCATACAACTTAACAGAAGGAAGACAAATAATCTAATTAAAAAATGGGCAAAAGACCTAAACAGACACTTCTCCAAAGTGGACATACAGATGGCCTAGAGCAGGGGTCCTCAAACTACAGCCCGCAGGCCACATGCAGCCCGCCGAAAACATTTATCCGGCCCGCCGGGTGTTTTTGCCACCGCTGTGTGCATAGGAATTTGTTCATAGTCAGAAGGAAGACAAATAATCTAATTAAAAAATGGGCAAAAGACTTAAACAGACACTTCTCCAAAGTGGACATACAGATGGCCTAGAGACCTATGAAAAAATGCTCAAAGTCACTGATCATCAGAGAGATGCAAATTAAAATGACAATGAGATATCACCTCACACCTATCAGAATGGCTACCATCAACAAATCAACAAATGACAAGTGCTGGTGGGAATGTAGACTGGTACAGCCATTATGGAAAATAGTATGGAATTTCCTCAAATTAAATATGGAACTGCCATTTGACCCAGTGATCCCACTTCTAGGAATATATCATAAAAAACAAAACAAAATATCAAGCAGAAAGAATGTATGCACCCCTATGTTCATAGCCACACAATTTACAATAGCTAAGATCTGGAAACAGCCCAAGTGCCCATCAGTAGATGTGTGAATAAAAAAAGATATGGTACATTTATACCATGGAATACTATGCAGCAGTAAAAAAGAAGAATCTCTTACCCTTTGAGACAGCATCAAGAAGCCTGGAGAGTATTTTGCTAAGTGAAATAAGTCAGTCAGAGAAAGACAAGTATCGCATGATCTCATTCATATGTGGAATCTAAGTAACAAAATAAACTGACGAATGGAATGAATCCAGAGACATGGAAGCATGGAACAGAGTGCAGAGTTTCGAAAGGAAGGCGGGGGAGGATGGGAGGTAATCAACCAAGGACCTTGTATGCATATATGCATGGCTCATGGACACAGATAATGGGTCAGTGAGGGCCTGGGATGGAGGGATGGGATGGGCTAGAGGGGGCCAATGGGGGAAAAGAAGGGACATATATAATACTTTCAACAATAACTCAGGGGTTTTGAGTCTGCTCTTTTTTATTTAACTAGATAGAGATCAGCCAAGTCATACCAAAACATGATAATTTATCAGCTAAACTTATTTCTCCTTCAAATCCTGTGTGTCCAGAACTGGTGCTAAGATCTTATCCTTGAACACCTGTTTGACACCTCTCCACCCAGCATTGGTAAAAGGCGATCATCAAAGGCACCGAGGACTTCCACTGCTCAGGCCCTCTTGTTTTTGTCAGTGCGTTTGAGGATGAGGCTGTATTAGGTTTTCCTAATGACAATTGCTAAACCTAAGAGAATAGTGGCTTATCCAAATGGTTGTTCTATTAAAATCTGGAGGCGATTTATGTAGGGTTGGCATGATGTTCCATGATGCAAGGACTCAGGTTCCGTCAGTCTGTTGTTCGAGGCACACATTCCCAAAGTTGCCTCATGCTTCTAGATGGCTGCTGGAGCTCCAGCCATCATCTGGATGCCAGCCGGGAAGAAAGCAAAAGGACCTCCTTACTCTAAGAACACTGCCTGGAACCCAAACTCACTGATTCTACCTACATCCTATTTTGCTGGACATTTACTGACATAGCCAAACCTAGCTGCAAGAAAAATGGGTCTTGTTCTGGGCCGTCGGGTCTACCCAACTAAAAATGGGAAGTCTCATTACTGGGAAAACGCAGGAGCTGGTATTTGAGGCTAACTAGAAGTCTCTAGTTAATGGCTTTGGAGTTCTAAAACCAGTGCTGTTGTCTGCTGTTAGCTTCTTTCATATCTGTGAAATGGGCATGTTGTCATCCTCATAGGTGTGTGAGGATTGGCTTAGTTGATGGGGATGTCTCTCCAGTTCTAGCACTCAGATCCTGTTACTCGGATCCTTCCCTTCAGAGTCGGGCATGCTGACTTGCACACTCCACTGCGTGTACCTTAGTGAAAAGGCTACCACTCCAGAAGGAAGTGTCTTCATGGAGAAATGCGAGTTGGATGTAGACATCTGGGCCTGATTTAGGAAGCCTCTGCGAGATGGATGCCTTGCAAAGAACAATGCTTTTCTCAGAGGCTGCCAGCATCACAGGGACACTTAACTGCTAAGTACAAACAGCTGTCCCACATCTGCAGGATCCATTTTCAACCACTGTATACAGTAGACACTGCTGATCATGAACTCGGGCCCGGCAAGGCTCAGGTCCTACAGCGTAGACTGAAGGGGCTGCCCAGGTTGCAAGGTGCACATGTTGATTACAGATAGCAAGGAAGCTCCGGGAGGCTGCTCCGCCTTCAGACTCGGTTTCTGAGCTGAGTAAAGTGAGACTCGGGCTGTCTTAAACTGTCTTGATTTGTAAAAACAAGATAAAATTGCATATGGCTGCCCAATGGGCTTGAATGCTAACCTCTCCCTGACCCTAAAGAACCTGGATACAACAAATCAGTATCATGAAACATTAGAGCAGAGAACCTAGAAAATCACCTGATCCTACCCTGAACATCATTGAGGATTTTGGCATCATTCTCATGGGACACAAAAGTGATAGCCAGGCCTTTGGTGCCAACGCGACCGGCACGGGCCACCGGTGGAGGTAGGTGTCCGAGTCCCCAGGCATGTCATAATTGAAGACGATGTTGACTCGCTCCATGTCCATCCCTCGGCCAAACAGATTGGTGGCCACCAGGATCCGCTGCTGAAAGTCCTTGAACTGCTGATAGCGTGATAGGCGCTCCTCCTGGGCCATGGCCCTGTGGGTGGCGATGGCTGGGAAATTCTGTTCCACAAGTAGCTGGGCCAGGGCCATGCAGCACTGCACCGACCTCACGCAGATCACCACCTGGTTAAACTCTAGCACGTCCAGGAGGTCGAAGAGTACGGTTCTTTTCGCTGTCTTCGAGCTTGACATAGTACTGCTGCAGCCCAAGCAGCGTGAGCTTGGTCTCGTCGTCCACCAACACCTCCATGGGATCTTGCATGAACTTCCTGCAGATGGGCCGGATCTCCTTGCTCAGTGTGGCACTGAACATCGTGCACTGCTTCTCGTGTGGCGTCAGCCAAAAGATCTCCTGTACATCCTGCCGCATGTCCAGCTGCTCCAGCATCTTGTCACACTCATCCAGCACAAAGTGCTTCACGTTTCTCAGGTTGAGGCTCCTGTTTCGCACGAGTGCCAAGATGCGACCTGGAGTCCCCACCACGACGTGGGGACAGTTCTTCTTCAACACCTCTTTGTCCTTCTTGATGGGAAGACCCCCAAAGAACAAGGACACCTTGACACTGGGCATGTACTTGGAGAAGCGCTCATACTCCTTCCTGATCTGAAAGGCCAGCTCCCGAGTGTGGTACATGACCAGGGCGGTCACCTGTCCATTGATGGGTGCAATCTGCTGTAGGGTGGCCAGCACGAAGACTGCAGTCTTGCCCATTCCAGACTGGGCCTGGCACAGGACATCCATGCCCAGGATGGCTTGGGGAGTACACTGGTGCTGAACCTCAGATGGATGCTCAAAGCCACAGTCCACTATGGCCCTCAGGAACTCAGGCTTCAGCAGAAAGTCCCGGAAGCCAGAGCTGTGGATGGAAACGTAGGACCCCTTGACATCTTTCTTGGGGGTTACTGGGGTGCTCTCTGTAGGAGCCTGGGGCACTTCATCTTCCTCATAATCCAGAAGCTCGTTTTCCACATCCTGTTCCGCCATCATACTGGTTCCCCGTTCGCCTCCGTGCGCTCATAGAGTGGACACGAGCTAGAGCGCTTCCTACCTCCTGCGTTGGATCACAAGCCCGTATTTTTTTTTGAGTTTTACAATATTAACAATTTATTATATTCAATGACTTCTCCCTCTTTCATACATTATTCAATAAATCTTATATTATTTTTTATGTTATAGGTACACATGAAAGGGATCTAAGATATAATGGAAAGTAATAGGTATGCCTAGCCTGAATGCAATGCATACATTGTTTCATTATGTGTGTGTGTGTGTGTGTGTGTGTGTGTGTGCAGGCATGTGTGTATCAGCCTATGAAATACACTATCTATTTGTACCACTGGATTAATCACATGAGCGTTTCAGCTTTGATACTCTCATTTCTAAAAAGGGGAAAATATCTTTTAAAGTCATTTCCCAGAATTACAGGGTAGATGAGTTAGTGATTAAAGCACTTTGAAAATAAAATATTATCAATGCAAATTAACATCATTAAGCATTCTTATTCATTGTATGTGCTTTTATAAAGAAAAGCATAATAAACTCAACACATTCAAAAAAGAAAGTAACCTTTTCTGATTTTTTAATAATTTTGAAAATGTTTCAAAAGGTTTGCCATTCAGTCAGGTCACAAAGCTCTGCGGGAAGTGTCATCTTTGAGGATAAGACTAAATATGTTCTTAGCAATAAATACCACCTCTCAATTTTTTTAAAGTCAACAAGCTAGTTCGGAGAGAAAAATAATTCTTTTCTTTATCCCTTAACTTTATTTATTTATTTATTTTTGGCCTTTAAAATTATCTTTATTTCTGATCATTCCTTTACAATCATCTGCCTCAGGATCAACTCCCATACATGCAGCTGGAGCGCAAATACCCCTCCCCCGTCCCCATGCAAATCAGATTCATATTTCCCATTCTAGGACACTTGCCCCCTGAGGTCCCATGAACTCCCCAACATTTGCCCCTGTAATCACGGACCTGGACTTGGTCCCTTCCTTTGCCCATTCACAGGATCATGAATCTGGATTGTGGGTGCCCCCCCATAATGCACCCTTGTTCTATATTACGGCTTCCAAGGGCCCAGAAGAAAGCTTTTGCTGAGTGTTCCCACTGAGCAGGGTCATTACAGGGGCACAGCACAGCTACACGTCATGAAAACTCCACGTCATAAATTTTACATTTGCCAGAGTTGTGACAGTACTTGGTGCCAAGAAAGATGTTCCTGGGCTGTCCTAACTCCTTCAGTATCCCCGTGAGCTCAGCCCGGAGCAGGGCAAGTCTCTCCTCGTTGACAGTCCCCTGGATCCTGTAATATTCCAGGGGGACTGGGTACAGCTCGAGCTCTAAACTGCTCAGCCTGGCTGTGTGGCACAGCAGCTTCTCCACGGTGTCCACGGAAATGTTGTTCTCAGAGATGGTGAAGCCCCTGAGCTGGTGACAGCGGCTCAGGACAGGCAGGATGGTCTCGACTTGGGAGTCCACCATGGCACAGTTATCCAGGCCCAGGTCCTCGAGGGTGGGTGCCACTGCCTCCAGCAGAGCTCGGAGGGGCTCAAGACTAAAATCCGCGAGGCTGAGACCAAATAGATGCAGGGACTTCAGCTGCCTGAGGTTTGGGCACTGGAACAGGTGTGTCAGGTCTGAATGGGTCAGCTGCTGGCAATTGGTTATGCAGAGTTTGTCCAAGGGGGTCTGCAGGCACCTGAGCATCTGGTCCAGACGGCCTCGGAGGAAGATGGGAGAATCCATGTCGAGCTCCCGGAGGTGCCGCAAGCGGAGCATCTGAGTGAGGAATTGGGAAAAGGATCGCTGCTCTTCCTGCTGTTTCCTGTCCCAATCCTCTTCCTCCTCCCACTCCTGTTCCTCTTCCTCCTCCCACTCCTGTTCCTCCTCCTCCTCCCACTCCTGTTCCTCTTCCTCCTGCCACTCCTGTTCCTCTTCCTCCTCCCACTCCTCCCCCTCTGTCAACACGTAGATGTGGGGGAGTCTCTGCAGGTTACTCATCTGACCCAGGTAGAGAGCAAACGTCCCCAGGGTGGGCAGGTCCCAGGTGCAGTTCACTTTAACCTCCTGGATGCAGTCCAGCTGCACCACATCCAGGACCCTCCTGACCCTCTGGAAGGGAACCTCAGAAATCCTCAGCGCCTTGCAGCACAGGTGTAGCAACCCTTCCCTCTGCTGGGCCCATTGGATGATGTACTTGAGAAACTCATCCCCGTCCCTTTCATTGAAATTAAGGTCTAAGAACACCTCCAAGGGAGCCAAGGGGTGCTCCATGTTGGGGCTGGAGCTGTGCACAGCCACTGGTTCTGTCTGTGAGCACTTCTGGGTGCTGTCTCCACACCACATTCTCCAGAACTTAGCTCCCGTGTTCCTGAAATCCAGCACCCGCAGTTTACACCTCCTGGGCCAAACCTCCTGGGCAAGCAGTACATCCAGCCCGTCCAACAGGGCTTTTAAGACCTTATTCAGGAACATCTGTGACAGGCAGCCCAGAGGAAGGACAGTGAAGGGCCAGGCTTGCACCATGGCCTTCAGGGGCTTCTGCATTCTCCTATGGTAGGCCTGAATGAAGAGCAGCGGGAAGAGCTCAGCAGGCAGGTACTCCAGAGCTGCGATGGCTGAGGCCTGGTCCCTCAGCAGGCTCTCTCCTGCCAGCCTCAGGAGTGTGCGTGGGGTCCGGAGACTCATATTCAAGGTGCTCAGAAAGGAATCCTCCAGAAACGTCTGCTGTGAATGGGTTGGCTGGGGCTCAAATCTCAGAGCTGGTGGAGAACCACCGCACTGACTGTAGAGCTGGAGGACTCTGAATCTCTCCTCTGGTGTCTGAGGTTTTATACACCTTCTCAAATGCTAACATCCAATCAGAATCCTCAGTCTCCAGCCCTTAATCTTAATCTTATTTGGATTATTTCGTCTCTGCAGATTAACGGATTAAGAGAAAGTTAGGGAGGGACAAGGTTGAGGCCTGGCTCATTGATTCCTTCCACAGACACTGACTGAGGTTGAATGATGGCCCCCCAGTTGTCATCCTCAGTGAAGGTGTAATGGGTTCCTGATGTTAAATAGGAAAGAACACAACCAGAGACCATGGTGGCTGGGGTTCTTTGGCCACATTAGAGTAATTCAAATGTTGATCCGAGTCCGGTTGGTGACTGCTGCTCCAGAGGTTTCCTTAAACCCGTGGTCACCAACTTTTCGGACCTCACGTGCTGGAGTCCAATCCCAGCAGGTCCAGGGGTCCCCAAAGGTGTGGAAGGAATCGGCGAAGAAGGAATGACACGAAGACAGACTTCAGTTGATCAGCAGCCTAGTCAGGACCTGTAGCCAGGATCTCCAGCCAAAGTTCTGGTTAGGAACTCCAGCCAAGCTCTGGTTAAGATTTGATCAGGATCTGATGAGGATCTGATTTGGATTCTGTGTCTTGTTACATCTGTATTTATAACAGTTGATTTTAATCCTGTCAATTTCTATTGCAAAGGTTAGGGCGTTTCTTATCTCTATTCCAGGGAGTAAAGATTATGTAGCTTAAGCGTGATTGTTTGTAGTTAAAGTGATTAACTACCCGCCTGGCACTTAGTTAAGGGGTTTTATTCCCTCCCTAACTTCAGGGAAAAATTCCTACCTGGGGAAACAACCTTTCTCGGAGAGGTGACCTTGGTTAAAACACATAGCACCAAGAAGGGGAGCAAACATATTAAGAACAGTATGCTATATACGCCAGGTCCCTTGAAACATATGCTGTGCAGATGTTTCCTCCTTGCAGCGACTGTGTCAAGCAGCAAGGATGGACCGGCTCCCGGCACTCACAGACCACCACTGGTGCGGACCACTGGTTGGCGACCACTGGACTGACTGAACCCTGTTAAGGCCTCAAGCCTGGAACCTGTTTCCTACAGAAAATTTCCCAGCTGGCTCCCTGGTCCTTTGCAATCTAGAACAAAACACGAGAAGCAAGATGGCGGCGATATAGGCAGAGGCGTCCCAGGTCTTGTCCCGGAGCAAAGGGAGTAAGCAGCTGAAACTAATAACACCCACCCCAAATTGGCGAAATTACTCAGCTGCTGAGACGGTTTGCAGCCGGGAAGGGCAGAGCTCCCCTGGAAAAGTAAAAAACCAGGGATCTGGGCAGGAAAGTTTGCCAGACCTCTGAGCCCAGAGGGTAGGAGGGAGACCGCGTGGCAGACAGCCGCGTCTCTTGGGACAGACACAGCCCCTGACTGGGGAAAGGAGTTCTGCGGGTTTGCTGGCGCAGGGAGATTTGAGATTTTGATTTTGTGATTTTGGAGAACTGAACCTAAAGGGGGCACCCTGAGGAACTGACCAGATCATGCAGTGCCCGTAAGAGAGGAGCGTTTCCCAGATCATGCAGTGCTGGTAAGAGAGGAGCGTTTCTGCGGCCGGCCGGCATTTGTTTTCACTGAACCCTGCTCATAGGACAGTTTGGATACAGACACTCACCTGTGCTGAAGAGAGGAAGAAGGTGCGGACGAGTGGAATCTGAGGAGAGGCTGAGGAGAGAGGGGGAGCCGGGGGAGGTGGCAGTGAATTGAGTGCTGAGACACCCCTGGGCCCAGGACTGGGGCAGCCATTCTCTCCAGAGGGTGGAATTCCTCCCCTCCAGCCCCCCAGGCAAGGAGCACAGGCACAGCCAGATTCCACCCTGTACGAGATAAAGGATTAAAATAATCTGATTAGTCCCTGGGAGTTACCAAGGTCTGGCCTATAGAGGGACTTTCAGTCCCACCAACAACACAGAGCAAGGTAACGATTAAAAAACCAGCTCTGCCCTAACCGGTTTGGCTCAGTGGATAGAGCGTCGGCCTGCGGACTGAAAGGTCCCAGGTTCGATTCTGGTCAAGGGCATGTACCTTGGTTGCCGGCACATCCCCAGTAGGGGGTGTGCAGGAGGCAACTGATCGATGTTTCTCTCTCATTGATGTTTCTAACTCTCTATCACTCTCCCTTCCTCTCTGTAAAAAAATCAATAAAAAATGTATTTAAAAAAAAAAAAAACAGCTCTGGGCAGTTGACCTCCCCAAACCAGTTTTAAGTGCAATAGAGAAAGTGAACACAAATTAAGGCAGTCTGGATCACAAATACGGCCTGCTTTAAAATCAGGACTGTGATTTACAACACGGAGGAACAGTGTATCGCAGGGAAATTCAACACTCTCCTGAATACCTGGCAGGACTAAGGCGAGCCAGGCTGAAGAGTAGAAGAACCGAAAGACCATCACTACTGCAATTTTTTTTCTTTTTTCGCCTTTTTACTAAGAAAACAATTTTTTTTCTTGTTCTTCTTTTTCCATCACCTGATTTTACCCTTTTAATTACTATATTTTTATTTTTAACCAGTATTATTACTGCTACCATTTTACCATTTTTTCAAATGTATCCACGGTTAAAACAGCCAACACTCACAGCTGGCACCATTTGGTGTCATCCCCAAAGAAAGCAAATGAAATGTGTCCATGCATCAATTGAGATTTTATGTCAGGTGACATAGCAGATCACGTGCTCCACAGGGATTAAGGGGTGGGCAAGTGTAGATGTGGCTGTCCCTATTGACCCCAAGGCTTCTCTGAGGGAGATCAGGTAAGAATCTCCATGAGAAGCAGGGTCAGGGCTGAGCAAGGTGGGGCTGAGCCATCCTAATGGAACCCTGTGAATGACCCAGGGCCATGTAACAGATGGGTGTTTTTTCTTGGAAAGAAGAGAAATAGAAAGACTCTTCTCTGGGTGAATTTAGGACTTAAAAGGAGACAAGCTGGAGGGCAGATAGTGTCCTCTTTATCCCTTAACTTTAAAACTTAGTTTAGCCGTAACCGGTTTGGCTCAGTGGATAGAGCCTCGGCCTGCAGACTGAAAGGTCCCAGGATCGATTCCGGTCAAGGGCATGTACCTTGGTTGCTACCTTGGTTGCGGGCACATCCCCAGTAGGGGGTGTGCAGGAGGCAGCTGATCGGTGTTTCTCTCTCATCGATGTTTCTAACTCTCTATCCCTTTCCCTTCCTCTCTGTAAAAAATCAATAAAATATATAAAAAAATAAATAAATAAAAAATAAAATAAATAAAACTTAGTTTAATCTCATTTTCCATAAGATTCTCATTCTGTACTTTTAAACCCAAGGTACTTTTCTGATCATAAAAAAGATAACATGTTTATACATTATCAGGAACTCAGGATCTTTGGGTAGAACATTTATTTCATGAAACACTCAAAGTTTAGGTCAGTGGGAAATAATTTTAATTAAAGAATTGTACATTGTCTTCCCACATGTCTTGCTTTTTTAAAAAAATGAAATCTTTATTGTTCAGATTATTACAGTTGTTCCTCTTTTTACCCCCATAGCTCCCCTCCACCTGGTTCCCACCCCACCCTCTGCCCTTACCGCCCCCCATGTCCTCATCCATAGGTGTACGATTTTTGTCCAGTCTCTTCCCGCACTCCCTACACCCCTTTCCCCCCAAGAATAGTCAATCCACTCCCTTTCTCTGCCCAATTCTATTATATTCACCAGTTTATTCTGTTCATCAGGTTATTTATTCACCTGATTTTTATATTCACTTGTTGATAGATGTGTATTTGTTGTTCATAATTTGTATCTTTACCTTTTTCTTCTTCTTCCTCTTCTTAAAGGATTCCTTTCAGCATTTCATATAATACTGGTTTGGTGGTGATGAACTCCTTTAGCTTTTTCTTAACTGTGAAGCTCTTTATCTGACCTTCAATTCTGAATGATAACTTTGCTGGGTAAAGTAATCTTGGTTGTAGGTTCTTGCTATTCATCACTTTGAATATTTCTTGCCACTCCCTTCTGGCCTGCATAGTTTCTGTTGAGAAATCTGCTGACAGTCGTATGGGTACTCCCTTGTAGGTAACTGACTTTTTTTTTCTCTAGCTGCTTTTAAGATTTTCTTTGTCTTTTGCTCTTGGCATTTTAATTATGATGTGTCTTGGTGTGGTCCTCTTTGGATTCCTTTTGTTTGGGGTTCTCTTAGCTTCCTAGACTTGTAAGTCTATTTCTTTCACCAGGTAGGGGAAGTTTTCTGTCATTATTTCTTCAAATAGGTTTTCAATATCTTGCTCTCTCTCTTCTTCTGGCACCCCCATAATTCGGATGTTGATATGCTTGAAGTTGTCCCAGAGGCTCCTTACACTATCTTCATATTTTTGGATTCTTTTTTCTTTTTGTTTTTCCGGTTGGGTGTTTTTTGCTGCTTTGAATTTCAAATCTTTGACTTGATTCTTGCCATCCTCTAGTCTGCTGTTGGAACTCTGCATAATATCCTTTATTTCAGTCAGTGTATGCTTAATTTCTAGTTGGTCCTTTTTCATAACCTCAAGGGTCTCACTACATTTATCAGCGGTCTCACCAGACTTTTTGATGGTCTTACCAAATTTATCGGTGGTTTCTAGAAAATTCTTGAAAAACCTTAAAAGTGTGGTTTTGAACTCTATATCAAGTTTGCTTTCCTCCATTTCTGTTATTTGTGACCTATTTCTTCGTCTCTGCATTTTTTATGCTTCCCTTTGTTTATAGAGTGGCTTTCTGTGCTGGGTGTCCTATAGGACCCGGTGGCTCAGCCTCCCCAATTACCTGAGGTGGAGACTCTTGGTGCTCCCCTTTGTGGGCTTTGCCCACAGTCTTGTAGTTAAGCCTTGACTGTTGTAGGTATCACTGGGAG